TGAAAAGTGATGCAAACCAAATCTGAACGCATAAGCCACCCATGAAGGTGCAGCATAAAGAATGTGGACAAGGAACACAAGAAATTGCAAGAATTTAGAGATGTACTGATAACTATGATACTACTAAAAAGACTCACAACTTAAATTACGAACCGAAGGAATATTTGCTGGCTTGAATGATGCAAAATCTGTTATTTGTATCCAGCCATAACTTGACACGAGAATATTTTGTGTTTTAAGATCGCCGTGGCAAACTTCAGCACATTCACACTGTGCTAATGCCTGTAGTAAAGGAAAAGCTTTAGGAAATTAAGTAAACTTGCAATACCGACAACAAGTTGAAGATACCTTAAAAAGCTGGAAAGCAATCCATTTTTTTTCGATGTCCATAAGAAAAGGACGTGTACTTAGACGATCATAAAGAGTATATTTCTGGAATGGTCGCGACAAAACTACACAACGCGACGTAATCTAAACAGTAAATTTGTAAAAGAAATTAACAATAGAATGTAAACAAATAAGGGATTCATAAACTTATTCTTCATCAACACGCAAGAAGAATATATTCTGCCTTAACATAAAATTACATGCGAATCATTCATTGCTTAAAAAAGCAAAACTTTTGCTAACTTAACTTACATATACACGTCTGAAAGGGCAACAGTTGTAAGCATTGCAGAGTAGATCACGAATTTGTATAACCTTAAAAATTGTAAAAATTAAGTCTAATACTAAAGAGTCATGAAAATTAAGTAAAAAGATGCAGAACTGAATAGTCAAGAATACGATAACAAACCGAAAATTTGAACTTACTAAGGGTTCAAAAAACTAGAAAAGAGAAGTAGAGAATGTACCTGGTCACGATAAGGATCAATTGAGAAAGACTGATCTTGGAATAAGAACACTTTAAGCACTGATGGGCCATCTGCATGATTAACTCGAGCTACTTTCATAAAACGAGTACTTCCTAAGCTGAAAAAATGAACTTAAAAATGAATAAAATATGACCTTAGCAATACAAATACATTCATAAATTAGACAATACTGTTGTTTTATAAGAATTAATAAAGTAATGATATTTGCACAAATTTTCCACGACAGAAAATTATTTATATGGCTTACAGATCTTTGATTCTGCTATTTTCCAACAATTTTCGAAAAATCAGTAAGTGAGGAAAATTACCAAGTATATACCCTTAAAACGCTGCATGCTGCTGTGAAAATCATAGGAACAATGTAACAGTTGTAATGATATAAGCGGAATAATTAATGTATGCACCAATTAAATAAATAAAAAAATAAAACTATTTGTATCTTGGTTTTTATTAGTCAGTAGCAAGAATGAAAGTGGTAGTTACATTACATGAAGCAAGTCCTAAGAAAGCAATTTATACACTGCAATTCTTATTAATGATGCCAAAAAAAACCTGAAAAAGCCAAACCTTTCAACATATTCCACATCATTAATATCGGAAAGATATGCTTCTACGGGAAGTAATTGACTCGGTATTTGAGCTGACAAAACGTTACCCATTTCTTCATATTATACCATAAAATAAACAGATACGTCGAACCTACATCTCAGAAACAAAAAATTATAACATAAGTTGTAGGAAAATAATCTCATCAAAACTTGCAAAATTTAGCAATTTGCATATCTTAATAATTTAAGATGAATCCTGCATAAAATACAAAACTGTAGAAATCTAGGTATCGTTGCTACCTGATAACCTTTTGAAACTTGAGAGTTAACAAAAACCATTTCATCTCAGAATTGACACTTCATATCCTTTCACCTCAAGATTAATTCTGCTAACTGTATCTGCAAACAAATCTTATCGCGGCTAACAAATGCAAATTAAAATCTCTGTCAATAATAATTAGGATAGGAAATGAAGACAGTATAGGAGAACCAGTTCGATTCTAATTTGCAATCGTAGCCAAGCATTTGCACTAAATAGACAGCAAATGCTTTATGTCGGTGCCAAGATCAGATAGAAATAAGAATTGTGAGCTGCCCTGTTGTAGAAAATTTCATAATTTCCTATAACTTACAAACAATTGAAGGCTACACGAATCAAGAAGTTTTGAAAAAAACGCAGCTTGCTTCAAAATCAGTGCAAGCAACGCGTCATCACCTATTGAAACTAAAGACCAGCTAATGCTGGTTGATTTGATCTTCCCATATTCAATATCAAATTACTTGTTAACTGACATTTGATCACTCTTTGATACCTTTGTCTATGCTTATAATCCCCGTCATACCTTTTTAATTTGACAAATTCAAACTACAAAGAAGAGAATGGATGTCCATGGTCTCACATAACAATTTTGAGAATGCATAGCATTTTGAAATTATAGATAAGACTAAAAGATTTGGATTTCCACAGAAACTAACAAATTCGACACAAACAGTAAAATTCTGCATTTCCAATGTTCGGAAATGTGCTACTCGATTCATTGGACAAATCTAGATTAATATAGTTTGTATAACGCATAGAATGTAGCCTCACTAAGAACTGTAAACAAATCAGTTTGACATCTACCGTCACATCAATGTTTCCTATATAGAATTGTATAGTCGAGGTCCCAATGTATCAAACAATTCGCATTATTGATACAGTATACCAAAGTGCTGGTAATTACAAGATTGCAAGGGTTATTGAAGTCAAATTAGTTGTAATTGAATCCACCACCAGCTGAGAGCAATGCAACCAGTCAATCTCCACACATCTTGCACCACCTGCTTGTTGTTTCTCAGATTTTTGATTCCAGAATGCCTCTTACGGAACTCAAAAACGTATTATTTTCTAATTTTCTGCGGAAGTTACAAAAGGAAATCAAGTAGTAACTATATTGAGTGGATTCAAACGCTAAACCAGTGAATCACCTTACATAATCATAATCTTATGTTTCAATAGTCAATATTTTAGTAAGAAACCTCTGATTCATTCACTCTTAATATTTTTAACGAACTGTTACAGAAATGGCAAGGGATGAACTTCGAGACATCTGCTGAAGAGATGCGGCGCTTAGACGTTAAACTAAATGATTACGAGCAACTACAACTGTACGGCCTCTACAAACAAGCAATTCATGGAGACATACCATCTCCTAATGACTACCGTTTGTTTATCGTATCTTCTGTATTACTAAAAACATCCAAATCAAGCAGCGACATCCTTATTGTTACTACAAAGCACTAGCTTCTTCAAACCATGCCACATATCATCCCATGAGTAAACACGATGCCATTAAATTGTTCTGTCCCCCAGTATCCTAGACTTTTATTCCAAATATTTATCACGGTTAATATTTGATGTATGCGAAAATGCGATATTTACCTGACCGATATAAATGCAAAGATATGACTAACTAGTTATTATTTTTAGTTTATCACTTTTTTTCTATTCAAAAAGAAGCTATAATCTTCCACGATTGAAGTACACGAGTTTTTTATTTTATCAAACACTGCGAAAAAAACAAAACTTAATTAAAAATCTAATGACATAGTTTTCAGCCCCACCACAATTCAATGATATATGGAATTTAAATAAATATGACGCCTGGTTAAAAAATAAAGGTAAAACACATTTAAATCATACTTCACTGATTTCATTATTGACTAACTAAGTTGAATCAGAATGATTTTAGCTACACCTCACATCTCTTGAAAAGAAAACGTTTATAAAGTAAAACGCTAGTAATCACCGCAGAATTACAAAACAATCCACGTTCACTAGTTAGTTAAATAAGAATAGAAAGTTAATAAAAAGTAAAAGAAAATAAGGCACAATTTAATTGAAACAAATTCTTCTACAAAATGCTACACAGCTCATGAGTATTTCTATTTTTAAACACAAAATTTTCAGGAAAAAATAGAAAACAGTGTGAGGAAGAGTATGTAGAAATTGCTCAAACGATGATCAAAAAATATGGACGAAAAATCGCACGTTGCAAATGGAATTGTGAAGTTTGGACTGCCGATTATTGAAAGATTGTACCTTTCCAAGGAACTGACACAGATCAAAATTTTATGCCCTTCACTTAATCAGTTAACCGAATAATTCATGTGATTATTTTGCGTCACTTCTGGATGCTAAAAATACACAAATTAACTTATACTTGAAGTAGCACTTTACAGCAGTATTTTTCTCATTCTATTTGATTTTTCATTATTCACTCACACACTACTATGAAGCATAAGCCATTATAATTGCTTTTTTTATTTGCAAAAATAGAAACAGTAGACGATAAGCATTAAAATGCTTCAAAAAATAAAATACACAGTTAACTGGAAGTACCGAATTTTCTTCATGATATTTGAACACTGATGAATGATTTCCTTTAACAAGAAACAAAAATTACGATACGCATTATTCAAGTAACGAATTATTTTTCATGACTCAAAAAATTAATTTTTATTATGTCAGAGATAATAATTTGAGAATACAAGCAGAAAATACCCAAGTAACGATATATCACAACACCGTTCGTAATTGTTCCAACAACCTTGTAAAATAATTCGCAATAACAAAATCCAAATTAGTAAACTCACATCAATTTCCAGAAGTTCCATTGAAGCTTCAAAAACACAATCACTGATTTTCTTCTGTACAACCAATCCTAGTCGAGGATTACGTATAGAGATCGCTCGAACTTTCTTTCCTACGAACTGTCCTAAACAAAGAACATTATTGAAATCTGATTCAAAATACCTAAATCTGTTTTCACTACATATGAAAGGAATTCAAGAGTTGATCTTCAAATTTGTAGAAAAGTACTTCAAAAAATTAAAAAATTGCCTAAAAGAGTGTATTCGTCATCTATTTCTCGCCCATTTTTCCGATCAATAGCATGTGACGTTTGTAGTGCAGTGGAACGTCTCTTTGAGCCCACAATTGGTGGGCAACTAGTTCCCGGTTTTACTATAATTTACAAGGTCCTCATAATTCATAAATACAGGATATGCCTACCACAAATATTATATCAAAATGAAATTGGTAAAAAACTTCAAAAAGAAATTTTATTTCTGTTTTTAAAGCTTTCTTCAAAGCCCCTTTAATGCTGTATTCTAAATTAAAAAATTATGAAAATAAAGAGACCATCGATATTAGTTGAATCATCACCATTTTGATGATATGAGTTATCGTTAAACTGCTCTGCTTTTGAAACCGCTTCAATAGTCCGTTCAATATTTGCCAATCGTTCGATATCTGCAAGAGTTTCGCCGGTATGGTCGACAGAACTGTAAGGATTCCCAGCTGTGCTTGGGCTACACTTTACAGTGACGGTGTTCGTGACAGGATACAATCCACTATCGGTTTTCGATGGATAATGCGGATAAGATGAATGTTCGTCATTTTCCTTTCGATCTTGAGACATTAGAGCACCTGGTGTGGAATACGGCCTCTGTTGCTGAACGTTACGATCATCCATCAGAAGCGAATTATATAAGTAACTCCTGAAAGGTAGTAAAGCGTATTAAGTTGCTCCAATATTAAACGAAAATCTAAAACTACATGTAGAGATACGAATTTTTCAAACTTCAAGTCAATTTTGTACTGAATAGAAGTAGTAAATTGAGTACCTTACATAAGCAAGAGCCAAAACATAATTTCCAACAAATTAAACTCATACTATTGAAGAAACAATCTGAGTAAAATGAACTGACATCGCTCGTACAAGAAAGGTAATTCTGAAGGATCCAGAAGAAATCTACCATGTATGCATGGAATACAAACCAAATAGTGCAAAGCACAACTATAATTACAAAAAACTATGCTCACTATGCAACATCTTGTCCTACCACATAAATGTTTGTAGCATTTCTTGAAGTCACGATATCCTTCACGACATAGTTTGATTTCTTACTACACGATCTGGTCTCTGCATTTGAAAATGTGAATAATGAATTTATAAGCTAACTGATGTCTCAGTTACTTTTACAATGTAACTTCCGCGTGATATCAGTCAATATCACAAGAAGTTTTCTGCATTACTGACTTTGGTGCCAGATCTTATTCGAACACTCTCACTGCATTCACATCCAGTTCTGTTATGTTGGTGGTTTCCGTTGCTTCGTTCCGACGTAATCAAACGACATACTTTCGAGCGTCTTCTTGAGCACCATCGATTGAATATATGCCTCTAAGTGATTAGATACGCTGGACTCCTTCGTGTGGCGTTGTTTATGAAAGTTCATCACTATCCCATACCAGGTCATCATTTTTTGTCCTGTATTTCATCTCTACCTAAGTTTATTAGCCAGGAAATAATATTTTAGCTTATTTTCCATCTCGACTGCTATCAACCTGTTCTGACCAGTGATGCCAACCTTCATCAGAAGTATTTCGTGTCGCTTCTTATCGTATACAGGATGTCCGATCGATCCGCCTTTAATCTATGTGCTGTTCTTACTAGCGAGTCAACTTTCGTCTTCGCGTTCTCATTAGCAATGACGGAATGACTCAGCTTGCGTGGGAATGCTTTCAGAACATACTTTTTGCAGAGTCCTAAACGTATACATAGCCAGTACCTCATTGTTTCTTTTCTAGTATAGTCGTGATTTAGCATTTTCCCGCACTGCGTCGCCAGATGCTCCACCGTCGTTCCCTACAATACAGCACTTGCTTATCTCATCTACAAATATATTTTTACCTTGGAGGTAACAGTCTCACGCCTCGCCACCTGGGGTAATGTTACCATATCGCAGCCACATTAACGAATCAGTCACTGCACACAGCTTATTACTTCGAATCTTGCTAGCTTTGCATAACGAATTTTCATTTTTATTTCTCTATTTAGGAGCGCTTTCTAGGCTGCTATTAGGTTTACAGCAGCTGAATTGACCAAGAAGTTGTATTCAGGCTAAAAGTAAAGAACAATAATTGTTAAGTACGTGTTGTGAACCTTTTCCTCCTTCAACTGCTCTTGTAAATGTAGGTGCGATATTTACAAGAATATTATGAAATTGAAGAAACATAATCTCACTTCTTCTATTCAACATCATGAAGTCCACGTCTTAGCTGATATCCTTCACAGGTGAAGTCTTTCTAAACATGCAGTTTTTCATTTAGTAACTGTCTGATATCATGATCTATTGCTTCAAAGTCTTCTTTCTTATTCCAGTTTGAGCATCCCAATATAATAGTTTATCAAGCCTATAGCGTGCTCGTTTATTTCCTTGATAAAGTTCTTGCCATTTACTGCAGTTTTGGCTACTCGCTTAATTCCACCGAAATCTCTGCCCAAACTTCATCGTAGCTTTCACAGGCACGTGCCCTAGTTCTGTCTTCCATTATCCCAGGGTATTTGTCCAATAGCGCCGCCTATCAGCGCATTTTTCGGTGTAAGTGGCTGACTTTTCTTAATTCACTTCTAGTCCTACCACACTAAGAAACTCTTGAACCTCTCCGACCATAGACTTCATGATATCCTTATAATCACCTACAAATACTTAATTATTCGTTATCTGCATTGCTTGATTGGTGGGAACCGCCATCTTTGGGTACCTCATACTAAGTCCACGGCTCAACGACTGCATGCGAAGAAATACTCCGCTGCTATTCGTTTTGTGCATGGAACCGTTCAGAATTCTCCGCTGGATTTTTTTCCCCTTTATGGTATCTCCACTACAGTACAACTGCCCATCTGTAGGTGATAATTTTCAGAAATCTGCTGATCCACAGTAGCTTGCCTTTCAATCACTTAATCAAGAGCTCGTGATTGACTGAATCAAACCTTTTTCAATATCATACTATGTAGTAGGTTCCCACGCTCTTTGACTTAATAAACCTTTTAGAATCAGGTACGTAGTTCCTTTGTTGAACCATGGGTCTTGTTCCTCCACATCCAGGCAAATTTGTTTTATCACTTTACTAACTACTTTCATAAATTCGAGTTCAAATGGAAAATTATCTCGTGTAGCGTATTTCTCTCATAGTTGATGTCAAGTATCTTGAGCTCCTTTTCTGACCTCTTTACCAACCGCTTTCGCAAGCACCGACAACAGGCTTTACTAGTGATCGCAGAATTCGCTTTTCTTCAGTATCCGCAATGCAGGTAACGACTTAAGAATCATTACCCTTTTGCTATCATTACGAAACGGTCAAGAATCGTCTTCAACACTTCCAGCTGCTTTGTGGAATCTTATATGAGATGAGAACTTCGAGCGTAATCACTCTGCTAGTAACTGCTTTCAGTATATTGCTTCCAGTACGTTCTCTTGTAATAATACTTTCTCAAATCCTTCGCGAAGCCTTTTTCAATAACCTCATCTGTTTTCCATCTATGATTCCAGGTTGTTTTTTTGCTTTTATCTCCCATTTTCTGCTTTGAGATGGGATTGATGTAGGTGGCCGCTCAACTGCTCGGCAATTTACTATATATATATAATAGAAAATAGTTGAACTTATACAACAACAACAAATTTACTAAAGCTACTCCACTTTCCCACATCAATATAACTTATCATTAACAAGCGTCATACTTCAATGTGAAAAACCTTTGTGATCTTGAGATTGTATTAGTGATAGCTGTTTGAAAAGAATTATAAAATGATGAAATCTTCATGTTATTACAAAACTATGCCATTACGATTATTCTTTTAACAGCAATAATAACTATCGATAATTTAAATATTAAATGTTGTCAAAGCACAGAATTATTACCACAATAAATAGAAAATTAATAATTTCATCGTTAAAGCCTTACATTGGATCATTTGCTTCCGCCAAGTCTGTAGCATCAGTAAATTTCAACATGTGCATAAAGCGCCACGGTTTTATTTGAACAGTAGACAATTCCATCCGTCTCTTAGCTCTTCTGTACTGATCTCGTAAATGCTGCCACTGACGACTTGTATGAGTACCTTTCAAAACAGAAGCATTTTTTTTTCAAAGGGACAAAAAAAAGAAACTTTATTTCATCTCACTGAGAAAAGAGTGATTACTGAAATTCTATTTCGTTATGTGTTCGTTTCTATGCATGAATACATTTATTCAAGATATCAGATTAAATTTTTATTCAAAGAAGTACTATTTGCATTTTTCTGATTTTAATGCTCAAATTTAAACAAAGATCAAATATGAAACTTTACAAAGTTATCATTTCCCACCACAAGTCATGAAGATTACTGTCCTTTATTAAAACAATACACATTATATTGCATTAATAACATTACTTTTTAATTTTTTGGTTAAAAAAGTATGATTAGCGTGTGCCAAACAAAAAATCAAATATATCGCTGCCCTTTTCTTGATAATATTCTTTTTGATCGGTCATTCAAAATCCATCACTGCTTATCGCTGACAAATTATGACAATTACCTTTGAGAGCTAAACCAAACATTTCGGACATTTCTTGTGCAATTTCCCAAAATATCTGTCGTTTTTTGGTTGCATTCCGATAATCGACATTAGAGAAATTCCAAATGCACTCTTGACGCTGCACCGATTTTATTAATATTTCACGCATTGCATCAGTCCATACCATTGTTTCACTTGACATTATACTTCAGAATTTGTGGTAGAAATCTCAAGAAACTTGAACAGTCTTAGTAAGCCTAATATCAAGACAAAGCACTCTTTATTTGAATATCGCTAAATGCAAATTCAGATAAAATTTCTTTAAATGCACAGATTTACATTGGATGCAACATAAATGCGCGAAACATTCTTTTAACTGCTCTCTCCACTCTGAAATACTATAAATAATTACTTTAGAAGGGAAATGAAAATGCAACTAATCAGTAAACAGTGTACGCTATATGACGCAGAGATTTAGTACATCGGTTCTTTTCAGGATTCTGATTAATCTGGAGTTACAAAAAAGAATTTAAACACATCTACTCACTTCTAATTCTTATTTCACACTTGTTTCGAAAGGCTTAAACAAGCGGATAAGACGAATGTGTCTCAAATGTCCATTTAAAGCTGATGTAAATAATATCCTACGTCTTTAGGTGACTTGAATAACAACCCAAAGAATGAAAGCTGACTTGAAAATCACAAGAATTGGCGAAGAATTATGAGTTATACGTCTAGGTTTCGAAAATAATTATATGCTTAAGAAGGTAATACTCCTTAATATTATAAGTGTGTTCACTGAAAATTTTCGAAAAACAAAGTCAAGAGCACAAAAAACTTTTTATCTCATTGTTCATTAAGAAAAAATTAAGTTTAAAGAGAGAATAATGATTATAAGAACAAAATCAGTTACCACATACTCGCTCACTTGTAACTAATAAAAGGTAAAGCGAAAATATCTCCGGATGATGTAAAGAGACTAATTACAAAACTGATGATGAGATGACTTGAAAAAATTTGAAACTCGTTGCCAGGAATGAAAACGATCTAATACTGTTTGAAACGAAAGCCTTGAGCAATGATCATTAGATATACTCCAGGAAATTTCAGAAAAAGTCAAGTAAACCATGATCTGAAAAATCCTAGTCATACCAAACAGTCAAAATGTACAAGTATGTTTGTCAGTGTGTACGTGTTTATATGTCGCCGAAGTAAAGCAGCGAAAAGTTGAAGTAAGGGCAGCGAATGTTTATTTATGACGGATGCACACATACATGCACTCACCGACACATCTTCATCTTTCTTCACTTCTCTGCATGCATTTAAACACGCCACATACTCACCGACAACATAATTCTTTCCTTATGTATGTCGTATTTGTGCAGAAGAGCTCACAGCATTTTAAGACGAGACCTGTATATGTGTATGTAAACATACACATATACATGCAGACGAGCATGGGATATAGTTAAGAGTTGCATTTATACCATGCATAAATGCGCAAGCTGACATAAATACACAGACATGCACACATGCATATTTAGATTTAGCATACGCTTGTGCGAATAGACAGACATACGCTCTTGCAAAAAACGCACAATTAATAATACGTATTTATACTGGCATGCACTAAATCACCCCTGCATACTTGCTTACGCAGCATTTACAAATATTTAAAGCACAATCAAGTACAATGTGTTAATACCAACACGTACTTTTTCAAACATTTCATGCTTGAGTTGAAATACCCCAAAATAATAATATTCGAAAACTGTTGTCAAACATGCGCAGGTAAAAAAAAGTGTAGAGCAGGTTATGCGTGACATGCAAGTAAGTGCTATGTGAAATTTTATCAGGCGGTGCATCTGGAATGTGCTGTCTGTGTGCAAGGTACATTGGTGTAGGTCAAACACAGACCTACACCAACATACCGCGTACACAGACAGCACATTCCAGACTCAAAGCCCGATAAAAAATACGTCTTCCACAACTTTACTTCTACCCATGCTTCTTACACACACACACATGCTCATATACGCATGCATGCACGCACACGTAGGCATGGCACACATACCTGCGTAAATACACCTACTTACATTTCTTTATATACTTGCAAACCCATGCATGCAGACATACAAACAACTCGATTTCTGCACGCAAGCACCCACGCACATACACAGACATACACAACGACAGAGATACACAATCAACGACAGTGAGGCGCACACACTCGCATACATAAGGATAAACATACAGACATATACATACACAACGACAAACAGACACAAATACACATTCACTTTCACATACACACACCTATCAACAGATAAGACAAGCATATATATATATATATATATAATATGCATAAATGTATATGTCATAAACAGTTGTCTGCTGAAAAAATTTACGTAACATACATTTCCGTATATTAAAATGAAACTTATTAACGTTGACACAGCCAAAGAATCAAAGAGGTAGCAAAACATAAAAAGTACAAGGTTGTGAAACAAGAGCGAAGACGAACTTATTTTGGTCCAGCATGTGCCATTCCGGAAAGAAAAGCCACTATCTGCAAAGTCAAGCGATAATATCACTGCTTTAATGACTGACGGTTTCATGCAGTAATGACCCAGTCATATTTTGCGTGAAATGGTGGTAATGATTTTCAAAATCATTCTTCATCCAAAAATAACATGCTTCCACATAAACACATGATTGTATATGGTGTGCATGACTAAATATCCTCTGGTTTTCACGACGACGGCTTTTTAAATCATATCTTTATGAAAATCATTAAAATTAAAAATTTTTATTTTCTGCTAATCCCTTCAATTCAAAATTCATATACTTTGAACAAAAATAACAGTTCATAGTTTCATACAGACAAAAGACCATTTATATTTTTAAGAATATGACTTAAATTTTAAATTTTAAATTGTTTATTTGTGAGCATGAAGGGTTTTGATAGTAATCTACTATCTGTTTTGTGCTGGTATTAAAATTTTTGTACTGAAAAATAAGCTTTTGTGACTTTTCCCTTCCGATGTATTGTAAAACATGTAATTTAATATTCGTCGCAAATGCTGAAGAATCAATCAAAACTTCCATCCTCCTTCTGTCTATTGAAATTGTTTGAAATGCAAATGTGAATTCAAATCACATGTTTTAGTTACCTCATTCAAATTTCAGGTACATAATGAGACCAGACTTTTCACGACCTCTGGGTCTCCACTCTAATTAATGAAAACCCTATTTTGTAGTATATATTAACAATTAACAAATCACATAAGTTTAACTGCTAGGAAGCTGGAAAATATAAAAATTTTATAACAGAAGGGTGTTCCGAGAACTAATCATTCTTATAGTTTTAAGCACTGTTTCAAGCAGCTGTCCTTCATTTAGCTCATTGAGCCTAAAAAATCAGGTGCAGCTGCCATGTCTGATATACTTCGTTATTTTTAAATTATAATTTTGCAGCATGATTTGCTGTGTTATTGATATACGGATATTAGTAGGAAAACTGAGTAGACTATCATGAATTCCTTCATTATCATTTACTTTAGTACAAAACATACTCGCGTACATCGCCTTTGGAAGACATCGAAATTACTATGTTCTGGCCGAAACATCTACAGCTGGTTTTCATGCTCCTTAGATATAGCAACATCCGACGTCTCTTGCGCATCTTGAACCTAAGCAAAACCTAGTTGACTGTTTGCAAACAGTCTTCTCCTGGCAACACTGAACTGCATGACGCGCGCTACATATTTTGTTGTCAACTTGTAAAGGTTCAACATACTTTATTGGGACACCTTTTGGAATCAGGTGACATTTCCTATGGTTCTACCATAGGTTCTTTTCCTCCACATCTAGGTGAATCCGTCTTATTACTTTGTACAGGTCTGGATGCAATGAGGTGCACTTTTTAATAAGGAAGTTATAAGCTCCATTAAGGCATTATTCCAGATATTCGTTGTGCTGGATATCATCATCTCGCATTTTCGAGTTACATTGTCACCCAAAACTCCCTGATTTCTTTTGGCCATACATCGTGGCTAATAGGCTGTTTTTCGCTTAGTTTCCTACAAAAGTGCCTTCTGAACGGCTCAAATCTGACGTTTTGGATTTTGAATGCACATCGGGGCTCATAACTTTTTATCTTTTTGCCATAAACTTTCACGCACTTTGTCAGCACGCTTAAGGCCTCACGACAGTTTACGTTTGAGAGCAAGTATGACATTCATGGTCCTCACATAATTCTTGGCATCCTTTAGGCTTTCATCTTCAAGCTTTTCACCGGCCAAATTCAGCTCTATAAGGGTTTTGTGGAAGTTAAACAAGTTCACCTTCTTTCCAATGCTTAGCTTCCAACCCGATGGCTTCTTCTTTCGCCTTGTCATGTCTTCATAACATTGTTGTGCTATATGGAGCTGCTTTGCAATATCGGTCATTGATTTAGGGGGATTCTATGTGGTATATTCACTTGCCGCTTGGTTTACCGCTGCAAGTTTAGGTGGGTCAACATTCTCCAGCATTATTTTCCGTTTTCACTTTGTATGGTCTATCTAACATTCTTGAGTTTCTTGCATCAGTACAAGGTACTTCCAGTGTAGTGAAACGTAATGGGATCGATCACGCCAGAACGGTAGAAATGGTAGTAATATTACAGAATATTTCAGCAATCAATCAGATCAGTCATAAAATGGCTGGAAACGTGTTTGTGAAGGACCTTGCACATCATAGGCGACTTCCAAGAAGCGAATAGAAGTAATGCACCATAACGTTTGTGCTCACACAACCCCTTGTTGTAGTATTTCTGAAGGAACGAAGACGAAACGAAACTAAAAGGTAAAGAAAAAAGATGCGCAAAGGATGAATAGAGAGGAAGAAAAGAATGTTGCAAAAGGGGTTTCAAACCCCAAAAGGAAATGCTGTGTTGTCTTGCAGTTAGGATATAAGTATGAAAAGGAAATGGATAATGAACAGAGGAAACCCGCATTTGGAAAACAATGGAAAAACAGCTCCGTGTAGGATGTGAGGGAGTAATCTGCCGGTGTACCGGAACCATGTGTCTGAATGTGCCACACAGAATCCTCCAAAGTCAATGACTAATCTTGCAGGGGAGCTCCAGCTAGCACAACAATGCTATGAAGCTATAATAAGGCGGGATAAGAAGCCATGGGGTGGAAGGCAAACATAGAAAAGAAGGTAAGCTTGTTAAATTTCCACAAAACCCTCGTAGAACGGACTTTGACAGGTGAAAATTTTCAAGTTACCTCGAAGTGAGGAAGATGAAAAAGGCCGAGAAGCGTGTGAGGAAGATGAATCTCATACTTGCTCTTAAGCGTGACTGTCATGAAGCTTTGAGCATACTGACAGAACGTGTGAGAGTTATGAAAGTAAAATGAGAAGTTTATGAGTTTCGGTGTGCATTTAAAATCCAAAACGCTAGATCCGGGCTGTTCAGAAGACGGTTCTATAGAAATCTGGCCGAAGAACAGTTTGTCAGCCACAATACAAAAACAGAAGAAATCAGGGATTTTGGGGTAACTCATCAAGATTTTGAGGAACTCGGGGATGGAAAAGGATGACAATGTCCGGCACAACAAATATCGATAATAATTCATTTTAGCTTATGAAGCGCATTATGCTTTTCCACCTGAAGCCGAATTTGGAAAGATAGTTACTTATTTGCCTAAAAGGAAAGCGATGGGCCTCTACACTGCTTTAAAGAAGGTGCAGCCCCAGAATCGAGATTTGTACAAAATAGTAAGAAAGCTACCTATCTGATTCCAAAAGGTATCCCTAGTAAAGACACCAACTTCGGGCCAATAACCAGGATATCGAACCTTTACAAGGTGAACACGAATTGTGTGGCGTGAGTCATGCAATCTAATGTTGCCACGAGGGCACTACTCGCATGCAATCAATCAGGAGCTATTGGCCAGGTTCAAAGTGCGAAAAAACAAGCATTCTTGAATCTGGTGGTTTGCAGAGAGCATGGAAACCAGTTATATAGTTAAATACTACGTGATAAGACATTAAAAAGGCGTTCAGTTCACTTAGTCACAACTACTTGATTCAGAGAGCATTGAAAGGCTCAACATGACAGCATGGATAGGCAGGTTTCTGAGAAGCATCATCTGCCGATGGTCGGTTGCATCGAAAAATAGAAACCATAAAGGAGCAAAAAATAGAGTGGGGAATCCTCCAAGGCGACAGTTTTTATCCGCTGTTGTTTGTACATGGATCCGTTGGGCCGTGGACTTAGTATGAGGTACCCAAAGATGGCGGTTCCCACCAATC